TGATTACCTTCAATATGTAGGCTATATAAGGCTCTAGAGCAGTCAACGGGACTGTGAATGAGCTGTTCAGTGCGTCATGGTGTTTGTGTCTGTGTTCGTTTCTAATGTAGCTTTGTGAGATGTATTTAGTAGTGCCTTCAAACACCACAGGGACGCCATTTGCTGACAAAATCGAAAATAAAAAAAAAATTGTGTAACCGGTTTTTAATGCACAAATTGCATCTTGAGTGTGAAGGGATAATATTTTTGGTATTTTAAAATATTTTTTGATTCATATTTATAATGTATTTTGAATACCTTACGCGCGTATTTCGAATGCGGCCAAAATAATACAGAATAAATACAAAATGAATATTCGTACAAAATACATTTCAACTTCGTTTGAAGTACGGCCTCTTTTTGCTAAGGGTAATCATAGCTCGGCGTCGTTTTCACGTCACCGCTTCAAGAAAGCAGACAAACTTTCGCTCCGCGTAGTCGCGGAGAACTCGAGAAACGCAGGGTATGGCTTATAACATTCACGCACGTTGCGTCGCGATTGGTTGTTCGGTTTTCTCATCGGGCAATACCGCAGTCTTATTGGCTGCGGAGCGAGAAAACGAGATGCTCCGAATTCTTCGCGCCCTATTTTTATTTTTTTTTTTAACTTTCAATGATTAGAGGTTTGAAACTCTAGCACTCCTGGTTATGGAGATATAGGACTGCGTTAGAATCACCTTCTCGTGTACACCATCTGGACCCGGGAGACGTCGCGGCGCCTTTTTAAACATCGTTGCAGTGTCTACAAGTTCACGGTCTTTCGCGCACAATTCTTCTTATCTGACTGGAAAACGCCCGCATTAGAAAAAAAAAAAAAGAAAGTAGTCCGGTTTTTTGCGGAGCTTTAGTAATTTCCCCTTTTTGTGGAGAATTGAGAGATTTGTAAGCGCATTTTAGATAAGACGTACGTTGCCTTACCAAGTCGTAGACGTTTTAAACGCCAAAAGCACCACTTCAATTCCTCCGACAACCAAAATTTACAAGAACTCCTTCGCAGCGGCGTATAAACAATGCGCAAAACGGCGCTGGAGCTGCGCGAACGCGCGGGCGCCTCTCAGGCTTTGGCTCTTATTGCCAGAGAAAGTGGTCCCGCAGAGTGTGGCGAAACCTCGGCCGTAAAGTTTCCGGCACGTGGCACCACTCCGAAGCAACCTTGTCGCGCGAAGGCCGTTCGCGCACTCACCGCACCCTCGCCGGCCGCTTTCTCGGTCTGCAAACAAGTCCGCCATCAGGGATTCCCGCTGGCACGACGCGCATTATGCTCGAGCGAAAATAGCCACTCGTAGTGCCTATAAATTGCACGGCTCTCCGGTCATGAGAAAGAAAACCAAGACCGAGGCGCGATTAGGGAAAACAGACATGTGAACCGACAGTCAATGTTTTACTGAGCCTTAGGCAATTGTGTTTGTGTGTTCTTCTTCTTTTACTCGTTCAAGGGTTTTCGTAGTGTTCCAAGTTCGCCGCCTTACCTGTAGTGGAGAGGGGTCTAGCGCACACCAGCTCGGAGCACGTGGAGCGAAAGCTCCCGCTGCAGGACCCAGGGATCCTGGGTTCAATCCCCGCCCCTGCCAGTTTTGATCTGGATAAGCATCGTACCGGCGTGCGGTCGTGTATCACTACTGTGTGGTGCACGTTAAAGACACCAGGCTAGCAGTCGTACTGCACTGGTTAAATCGCTTATCTACAGTGGGTAACAATGTCGCCATGTCCTGCACTCTAAAAAACGGTTGTGCGTCTACTTTCACGCACAACACTGGGAGAGCCAATCACCGCAACTTACGGAGGCAGCTCACCGAATGACAATGCCGAAACATCTGTTTAGACCAAAAAACGCAGTCTGAGTTGTGACATTAAGCAATGCAAAACGTCACGCTTGCATTGCTTAATGTCCCAAGTTAGAGTGCGTTTCTTGGTGTAAACCAGAGGTGGCCAAGCTGCGGCTCGCGAGCCGCATGCGGCTCTTCGCGTGTTAACATGCGGCTCGCGGCTCCCTGGCCAACCCTCCCCCCCCCCCCCCACACACACACACACACACACTTCCCCGCCTCCCTCCCGGTCACACGAGCACTTCCCCCAAAAGAGAAATGAAACGCGGTTTGAATCGAAAGTCCGGTTGCGGTTTGGTAGCCTTGTGCTACTGCTACCTTACGTACAGTTGGATTGCCTTTCACTCGGATAGATTGAAAGTAGTTCGAGTTTTGTTTATTCCTCTGGGAAAAAAATTGCCCGCCCCCCGCTTTTGGAAGTTTCGTGGTTTTGTATGCGGCTCTTAGGCCGGGTCAGCCTGGCCACCCCTGGTCTAAACGTATGTTTCGGCATCGTCATTCACTGAGCTGCCTCCGTAAGTTGCGGTGATTGGCTCTACGAGTGTTGTGCGGGAAGGCAGACTCACGGGCTTTTTTTAGAGTGTGGCAGACTAACCTCCTGCTGTATAAACAACTAACGACAAATTTTAACCTCTAATAGAGTGCGTTTGATTTTTTTTTTTTTTTTTACAGTTCTTTACCCGTATTATACAAAACGGTTGGGAACGTAGGCATCTGCCGTGAAATCACTTTAGAACGGTTCAATTGTTTTGGTCAGGAGGCGTTCCTAGCGCCACCACGACACCGGCAGGATCAAACGAGCTTGCTGCTGTCACGAAGCCAGTACATAAACTCGTATCTTTGATTGGCGTCACTTGACGTTGGTTGAGCTTTTCCTACGTTTCATGGGTAAACTGTGGCCGCTTGGCTCGCGCCTGTGTGATTCGATGGGCTCAGGGAGAACAAGCAAGTCTCCTGCTCACCAGCCCTGCGCGACGTGCTTGGCTTTTTTTTTTTTTTTCGTTTTAGGGGCGAAGCTTTTTAGGGTCTAGCCTTGTCCGTCCGGCGTCTGTGCTCACATCGATTGCCATCGCATCTCTCTTAAAAAAAAATGTTTGCGCAGTCGACAGGATTTGAACCTGTGCGGGGAGACCCCAATGGATTTCTACTCCATCGCCTTAACCACTCAGCCACGACTGCAGGACGAGTAGGGAGCTCTGAGATGTGGTAGTAACTCAAGAGCTGGGGATGTCATGGATGAAACGTTGCATGTAGCCGCTCAACGTCTATACAGGAGAGGGCGCTGCGGTCAAATACGTATATAATCGCGTTAAACTTTGCATGCATTGGCTCAACGTTTATAGACGAGAGGGCGCTGCGGTGAAAAGCTCAAATGCGTATATAGCCACGTTCCATACCACACATTCTCTTTCTGACATGGACCGTTGACTTAAGCGGTGGAGATGCGTTCCCACGGCTTCCAGCGGATCCGAGCTGATCCGCTAGAAGAACCACTGGCTCTGCATTTCACCGATCATAAAGCAGTAATAATGAAGTCGAAACGCAACCTGGAACTCAGCACTACCTATGAGCAAATAAAAAAAATCAGCACCATCAGCACTACCTATGAACAAAATCAGTATCATCACCATCACAAGAGCTTCGCCCCAATCAACATCATTCACCACGTAGAGATGCGGTCTTTTCTTCCTTTTTTTTTTTCAAGTATTTATACGTATTCTAAGCCTCGTCAATCGCTGCGTCAGAGACTTTTCTAGCCTGTGATGTAACCAATTTTGCATATACCATGTGGGGTGCCTACAGTTTTCACAAACCTCTACGTCTTTCCGGCATCTCTCACTCACTCACTCATTTACTCACAGTTTACACGTGACCGCACGCTTGTCTATCAAAAATGAGTTGGTGAGCGTATGCAGCGGCCTCCTCGAGCCAAAAACGAAGGATCAAAGCACGGGACATGTTCCTGCAGAAACTGTCAGCTCCGAGGACACCTTGTCGTGCGTAGGGTGCCTCGATGTCCTTCTGTTTAGGGTGATGCCACCCTTTGCAGTACCCGATGCCGACAGCACGCGCCCACGGGTAAAATACAAAAAAATCGACGAAAACAAAATGTCGCCATAGCACAGTCAGCGTCACAAACGCGTGCAGTAACACGCTCTTTGACGCGCTTCTAAACAAAAAAAAAAGAATAAAAATAAAAGTGTGGGACAAAATGGCCAGGGCCCGTTTGCTCGAAGCGGTAACCGCGGCTAAAATTAGCCGCAGTACATAGGGAAGGATTTTGAAATCACGTGACTGGCTCGGTAGGGGATGCGGGGAAACATGGCGATGCCCCGGTGAGTGATGGCCACTCGCTTTGGAACCAATATGTCGTTGTAGCCGCAATATCGGGCGCGTTAGTCAGCGACGAATGGTGCAGGAGGCTTTCGATTTGCCTTACCTCACTTAAATCGCAAAGCATGAGCAATGATCTAGCCGCGTTTTTTAGATACTCCTTCGATTCTGGCCATTCCTAAGCCTAAATGAACGCGATAATTGTCGCCATGGCAACGTCTTTGGAAAGTGGATTGCCTTAACTCAATCGGCCGGGTAATGATAGCACACAAAAGCAGACAGCGTCCCAATATACCTTTTTCTAAATTTCCAAAGAACCGATGTGCATGCTACGAGTGTGGTTACACTCGTTGCACGTGCTGGCGTCTGCAGTAGTAATTTTCAAAAGCAACAAGTCCAAAAACAAATTTTGCCTGGCACGCGCGTTAGTCAAAGCCTTATTATGATTATTTACTTCAAATCTTTTATAAGAGCAAGGCCAGCGCACACAGACCGTAGAATTAAACTTCCAGCGTTCTCCTCGATGCTTGGACAATTTAGAAAAAGGTATGCTGGGACGCTGTCTGCTTTTGTGTGTTATCAATAGCCGGCCGACTGAGTCTAGGTCATCCCCTTTCCAAAGACGTTGCCATGCCGACAATCATGGCGTTCATTGAGGCCTAGTAATGGACAGAATCGAGACTATCTAAAAAATGCGGCGCACAGCTTTGGCCGCGCTTACCAAGCTGTGCGCTGAAATTTCGAATGTGGGTTTGGCTCCGTTTGTCGTGTCTGAAGGCGTGCCGCGTTCCCCCGTCACAGGCCTGCTGGGCCCGGTCCGCGCCGCGCCGAAAGCCGGCTGCGATGTTCTCCAAGTGGACGGCTGCGCCGCTGACGTCTTCCTCTTCGCCGCGAAGGATTCCGCGCCCAAGGACGCCGCCGAACTCGAGTCCTACTGCAAGTGAGTTGCCCGCATCGTGGGTTCTCAAGCTGAATTTCTACTTCCTTGGAACCCAAGGGTTCCGTGTACGCAGTACCCTTGGAGATTCGCCCAGCTTGTAAATAGACCTTTTTTATTTTCAAAAACACCTCGAGAAACGTTCGTGGTCGCCATTTTTGGTGTACGAAGCGTCCGATTGGACCCGAGTCCTCGCCCAACGTTGGCGTAGCCCTCGCGTCCAATACACGGTCAGAGGCCGTGCCCAAACTGTTAACTCACTCGGCTACTTGGCGAGCAGAACAAACTACAAGGGGTGCTCTTTCAAGTTTGTTTACTTCAAATCTCGGTGTTTACCCAACACAAGTCCTGTAGACTTGACTCCTTACGTAATGTAAAAAGTGTTCACAATAAACGGAGTTACGTTGGCGGGACGCGACAAGCCGGATTTCTTCCTAAATCAATCGTCAGAGGATGTGAACTCGATGCACTTCAGCCTTTGCCGAAGAGGTGCTGGAAACATGCGCAGTGCATTGCAGCATTGTTTACGCAGGCCTGAATGGCTACCCCAGAGCACATCGTCGAGTCACGAGAGAACACGAGACCCAACCGAGAACTGACGCAAAGTTTGGCAACATCAGCCGAGCGCTGCGTCATGGTCGTTGTCCCGATAGGTGTCGTTCTAAAGTTGACCACTTGGGGTTCCATACGAGACACGAAAAGTCAAACTCCCTCAAGTCACCGCAGCGGGTCCCCCTTCCTTGTCCCTAGGGGCTGTTGTCCACTTGGAGAGGCACCATGCTACTTGACCTCTGTTTAGCAAAGATAAAGAGACTCTTCGGTAGATGCTGGTCAAGTTGCCTCATGTACATCCCGCGGTATAGTTGTAAAACAAGCCAGGAACAGTCCGAGTTTTCACGTCGTAGATGACTCTTCCGAGCCTGTTCTTACTGTGTACTCTCAACTGCAGGGTCCAGAAGGCGTCTGAAGAATGTTCCAGGAACTACGTCAAGAAGTGCACAGAGAGCGTCGTTCAGGGCATCGCCACGATCTTCCTCGACGACATCAAGGACGAAATCGACACGCGTTGCGACCCAACTCAAGATTACCACAAAGGTGAGTACACCCTGCTATGAACTACCCCCTCAATGAACTTTGTCAAACTTGTCTTCTTTTTTATTTGGGTAATCTTTTAAAAGAGCCATATATAGGTAGGAATTAGAATACTCCTGGGACGATATTAAAAAAGAAGTCGGCTAAAAGCTAGAACGAACACGAAAATATTTGGAACATATAGCGGGCTATACATCAATCAACGTTCCGCACACCGAGATGATTGTAGTGTACATCACTACAATTAAAAAAAACTTTAAAGAAAATACATCTTAGGTCTCTCACCTTAGGGCGATTTGAATATTATATTAAACGTCCAAAAATTTAGGTGATTTTCTTTCGTACAAAGCAAAAAAAAAAGCACATGTTAATTTTAGGTGTCCCTTTAGCGCAACTCCTCCCAATTGCATTTCCTTGCTGATCATGAAAGAGCACGAGTAAGCCTATCACTACCATTCCAATAGACTACTTTCAAAAATCCCAGCATGCAACACAGCGCGCGTTGCATTATGGTACCTCTTTAGCCATGGAGAGGAACGGCGTGGTTTTCGATTTACATTGTTGTAGACCTCAAAGCAGGCTGCCTTGAGGTCTGCCCACTATCCTCCACTCAGAACCAATCAGAGCTCGGCGTTCTGACGTCTCCGCAACCCCGGCAAAAAGAAGCAGACGAACTTGCGCTCCGCATAGGATTCCTTAGTAGGAAACGTGTACAAACAAAAGGTCGCAATTACAAAGGTGAGGGAAAATAGCTGCGGTTTCGAGTAAGTTTAGTACTTACAAAAGTAATCAGATCGTTCTTGTGATTACTTCCTAATAATCGTATTGAAATGATTACAAATTTACTTGGAAAATAATCGATTACACGTAACTTTTTGTTACTTCTGATGAGTACCGTGCTGGTATGGTTGTAAGCAGTGAAATGTGTGCGAAGCAGCCTTCAGGAGTGAACGGTGTATACGGAGCGCAAGTCCGTCTGCTTCATGCACAGGGGTTGCGATGATGATGTCAGAACGCCGAGCTTTTATTGGCTGATCAAAACATATAGTAGCAAGACCTCAATACATCTAGCATTGAGGTCTACCCGCTATCCTTTTAATCAAAGCCATTCACAGCTCGGCGTCTTTCTGAAGTTACTGCGACTCCTGTGCAAGAAGCAGACGAGTTGCTCTCAGCATGGCTTTAGTTTCTCCGCTTTCCCGGGAATGGGCGCGGGCCACGGAACCCACGGATTCGGGACGTCAAATATCAACAGTTGCACGAAACAACGCAGCCACTTTCGCGCATCTATTATTCTTTTGCAGAATACCTCAAGCACGTGGGCTGCATGAACAGCGTCGGCCCCGGAATCCATAAGTGCATGAGGGACCTGGTTGTGGCACTCGACGTTGCTGCTCAGTTGCCCGTCAAGCAGAGGATCGGCGGTGCCTGTTGGTAAGTTCAATTGCCTTTTTTTTTACAGCCATAGTTGCTATTGATTTTTACCACCACTGGAAATGACGTCTGTTCTAGGTGTTGTAGTTTTTGATGTTGTAGATGCAATTTATGCTGTAGTTGTTGTAGTAGCGCGAAGGGTGTCCGTCGTCGATGTTGCCAAATCCTTTAAAAAGATCGCTCGCCACCCGCGGGATTCGATCCTGGGTTTGCTGCGTGCAAAGCGGGCGCGTTTGCACTGAGCTAGAACACTTTTTAAGGCGAAAGTCTTGTTGTCTCATCATTGAGTCGACCTTCAAAGTCCTTGAGCGAAAACTCGACAGCGACACGTAAGATACGAAAACCGGTGACACGAAAGGTACCAAAACCCACGGTTCAGCACTGGACCACGAGATGGCGTTACTTGTGCCAGAATCGGCGGTGGCGCTATTGGTGACTCAAACGAAATCTAAGTCGCGTAGCGGCAACGCCGAGAAGCTCAGTAGAGGGGGTTGTTTCGACTCTTTCCTCTGCTATCGCTGCTTGGTTCTCGTAGGCAGCATGAAAACAAACATAGTTACTAGTAACTATTTTTATGCTTCCGCCGTGTCATTCCTACGCACTGACTAGAAGAAGGCATTTACCGTCGAAAAATTGCTTTGCTTTTATATGTAACACCGATCTTACGCTACAGTGCAAGAAATTTATGGTGGTCCGCGTGCTGAACGATGTAAACGACCTCCTTTCTTCCGCCATTTCGACTGACCAGCGAGCCCCCATAGTTCGCTGGAGTCGCGTATATTCCTCCAAAAAGACTTCTCGCCCTTTTTCCTCGGTTTTTCGTGGTTTTTCGTTGGTAGTACGACGCAACATCCTTAAATAATCTGTCTTTCTTTAGTGCATCTGCGCTTGGGCTTTTGCCTTCAAGTCATCTTACGGATAACATAGGAGGCCATGTGAATTTTTTTGCTTCTTTCTTGATTGAGTTACGACACAGCATTGACTTGCTTCGACTAGGTTGCCTCTATATGTCCTCTTTAGGGAGATTCCATTTGTCGTAGCGATTACACGTGCTTTCGGGAAAAATACAAAGCAATAGCCGGTAAAAAAATGCTTTCGTAGCGTTGTCAGTTCCTAGAGCTTGTGCAGGAAAAAGCTTTTTAGGCGCTCCGAAAAAGAAAAAAAAAAAAGCGTTCGGAACAAAATGGCAAGGTATTCATTTTGTTCCGAAAGCTTTTGTTTCCTTACCCCGGGGTTTGTGAATGCCCAACGACTTCGCCGTAACGGGTCGCAGCTGTCGTTGCGACTGTACGTGTATTAGCATAGGACTGCTCGCCTTTTTCACACAGAAAATTTAATTTCAAAGTGTAACAACAAAAAAAGTGGAATAGAAGTGCAACGAGCGTAAAGACGTGGTCACACTGCTAATACAGCACACACAAAACAGTCTGTAAACACTGTCTGAGGCGTGTTTTTTTAGACTTAGGCTAGGGGGCGCTACCTACCGTCTGTTACAGTTACAAAAGGTATAACCATTAACATCCATCCACCTATCTTTCTTGTATGACTGTTTTTTCACATTGGTCATAGAAAAACTGTCCGCTGACATATTCGAGGCACACATATGTACTAGCAAACAGGCTTCGAACATGCTTTGAATCCGTGTCGGCAAATAATTCCGTCATATCATGTCTGCAACGAACATTGCGTGCCTCGTGTCTGGTGTATTCGCAGCGTGAATGCGGGTTAAGAGTTGGCTACCTCCACGCTGTCCAAGCATAGACACTAGTAATCGAGCAGAGAGAGTTCACCCCCGTGTCCGCCCTTCTTGCCTCTCGCAGCAAGTTCGACGGCTTCGAGAACTGCGTCACCCAGCTTGTGCAGAGCAAGTGCACCGGCGAATCGACCACGTTCGCAAAGGGCCTGCTGAACAAGTACGCCGGAGAACTCCTGGGCACGGTCTGCGGTGCCTTCAAGGGCAACGACAAGTGTGCCGCCATCAACTACGGCAGCGCCGTGGGCGACGCCAGCCTCAAGTCCATCCTCGCGCCCCTCATCAAGGTCTCTGACGCCCTCGGCTAGACGCTCAACGAAGCGCCACTCACGATATCTGGTCAACAATGTAGTCTAGTGTTATGTTACTGTGAAGAAAACGCGTCTGGCCGCGGTCACTCTTTAGTAAAACCGCCAGAAAGCCACCTGAGTGTCAGTGTGTACTTTGGTGCCTGTCTTCACTTGTCTTCACAACAAAGAATGTCTTCACCCTATAGACCTGTCGATCGGTCTCAGGGTGAAGACGTCCTTTGTTGCAATGAGTACAACGTGTGACGCGCTGGTGCATTCAGTTCTATACTTGTGCGGTAAAATGTCTACTAAGCATTAGCAGAGGTTACGCGTTTGAGCTGAGTCACACCAGTTTGTGCGCACTTCAAAAGACACACACATAAAAAACAATTGGCCAGAAGAATGGTTGATATGTCACTACTCAAGCAAAAGCGCCTATGTGTATGAAGGCACTCTGTGTGTATTGGTGAGTCAAAACCTTATATAGAGAATATAGCTTGCGCGCCCGCTCCGTGACGTCACTGTAACTAGACCAGCGAGCGGAAAAGCGAAAGTCTGCTGGACGCTGGGCTTCGCTCTGTCTACGCGCTTTGCGGGCTGGCATGTGGCTTCAATAGGATATATTATACGAATGTCACTTACCAGTGCGTGACGACGAGGTAATTAATTGAATTACAGCTTTTATGATGAGAAGTTCATATAACAACTCCGACCTCTTGGGTTTGTCTATTAGGTAACTACGACCGAAAACACTCGTTGTAAATATTCCCGACTCTCTCTACACTTGTTTAACTTGATCTTCTTCATAAAACAAGAACGCCGCTCTGCGATCAAAAAGATATATTTTAATTGAAGCATTTTTCGGACGTCCATGCCTAACACAAAATTAGAAAATACGTGAAATAGTATCTTAAAGTGGGATTTTTATAAGGCCAACCAAGCTCAGGAGCCACGTAAGCACTAAATGTGTCTGTCGATCGGTCCGTAACCGCTAAACGACCTTGAAGGAAGCAGCCACCGGTGCCAGGGAGCAAACCCCGGTCACCCGCGTGGATGCCGAGTGCGCTGCTAACTGAGCTACGGACAAAGCGGCAGGAACAGGAGGAGCAGAAGCAGGTAGAGTGAGGATGCCCGCTGAGAGGAGAGGGGTGGAAAGACAAGAAAGAGAGGTTCAGAAACAGCTGGTGTAGAAAGAGAGCGAGGAAGAGTATGGAAGGGGCAAAAAAGCGCGCTACCCCTCTCTTTGTGACCCAAAAAAAAAATTCAGCGCAAAAACGTTTGTATCGAAAAGGCTTTGGTGCTGAACGGAAGCGCACACAGCACCACAAAGAGACAATATGGTCTGACGTAATAGACCGATCTCATCAAGCGTTCCACGCATGCGTGACGCCGCCATAACTGTAGTTCGTACGAGGCAGACGCCAGTTCACGAGATAGCTCGTGCCGCCTCGTGCTTTGCTCGCGCAGACCTCCAGCGGGGTTGTTGCGCGTGCAGAAAGACTACAGCTCCCACGATGCATGTCGGCAGCGGTGGCGTACTCAAACTAGCTGTGAGATCGGTCTATTTGTTTCAATATAAAACGCTGCCCTAGGAAGCTCCTAAACTAAGTGCACTACCCCACCCAGGCATTGATAGACTAAGCTTCATCCTGCCCTATAGTCGGTTTCCCCTTTCATTCTTCACCTGTCACCAAGATGTGCTCCAATAGGAAACCGAAACGTTCCAAGAAACGTGTCCAAATCAATCACTTTTTTCTGTATTTTTTTAATGATGTACGATTTTTTGGATAATTCTTTATTTTGCTGATTTAGTGGTCTCCTATGATGCCCCAGAAAGTTCCCATATTTCCTTTCAGCTGAAGTCCTGATGTTGACGAGATTACGTGCTAGTGTGAGCCATCAAGGAGCGTCAAAAGTACGAGTCATTGGGCCTTTTTGTTTATGACTGGTTCACGACAATATAACACGTACAGACACAGAAAAAACACCTTTATGGGGCACTTTTGTCGCTGTCTAATTGCTATACCATCAGCTCGTGGAATCGGCTGCGTCTGAACCAACGAAGTCTAAGTGAAACCGCGCCCTAAAATTCAACGACTTAATAAGTTAATTATTCGAACATCGTTAATGACCTGATTATTCCGGACTGTATTAATTTTCCTAGATAGGTCCCTGAGGAGGGACCAAGAAGACACCAACCTTGCTTTTGTGTGATGCGCAGTTTTTGCTCAACGTTGCCGGAGTTTCGTGAAACACCTGTTGTTATAAATCGCGGGGCTCGTTTTAATGTCAGCCGGCAAAAAAATTGGGCTTTCAAGTAACGACCTCAGGCATTCGCAGAAAGAAAAAAAATTGCGGTGCAATTTACTTTCCCGTGAAAAAAAAAAAAAAAAAGATTCAAAGGACGTTTACGCTAGAGGACCGAGTTCAACCGTGAGTAGTGTGCTCAGGTTTAAGAGTGGTTCAAACTGTTCGATCTCGGTCACGACGTTTGCAACGCAAAGTGAGAGGATGTGGCGAAAACGTCGAGCGTGACAACTTTCGAGCTTTGCTGCGTATCCTCGCTCAAATTCCTCTCGCCACGCGACAACAAAGGCATGCGCGGGTGGCACGAATCTTGGCAGGAGAGGTCCGTCATTAAATTGCAACGCTTTCCTCGGATTGACTCGCTCCCTCTTTCGAATCAACGGGCGCTTTATCCGAGAGTCGTGCATCTGGCGCCATCTCCATTTAGGCGCAACAAGTAGAAGACAACACTCGGTTGAAAGCGCACGCCGCCGTCTGCTTGCGGCGACTATCGGAAGATAGCACCACGAGCACTGGCCCCTTGCGTAAGGCTGCACTGGCATCCGCCGTTGGAAGTGTCATGAGAAGAAAAAAAAAAATAACCAATACCCAAACTCTTAATTTTGGTATCCTCAGTTTCTTAAAGTCGCTAAGTAACATCGCGGTAAGATTATCACCACGCATAACAATTCAATGCCAGTGTTATTCCTTCCCTCCGTCCAGACAATTTGAGAGAAAGCGTTCGCGCATTGCGGGTCTTGAAATACTGGCAGCTTATCTCAAACTCCAGCTACATTGTGCCTAAATAGTATCACGCACGGCCATATATATACATATATATATAATACGCCGTACAAAAGGCAGTCAGCAGATCTGGGGCATGTTTCGTTCGTGTACGACAGTGCAGTCACATTCATCATAGAAAAACTGTCTAAAGACACGTTCAAAGTACACATACGTATCAAGTAAACATATTTCGAACAGCTTGGAGATGTGTCTGCACATAATTTCGTCATCCTGTGTGCAGCGAACACCCATTGTTTTTTGTGCGGTGCATGAGTGGTATACGAGATTAAGCGAGATAAAAAAAAAAGAAAAGAAATTCAGTTCAACTGCCCTTGCAGGGTTTTGCTTTAATCAACTTCGCGAGACACTATGTTCCGATTTCTTGCCGAAAATCGCTGGCCCGAGGAAGCGAGCGGAAAGATAGAAACTGCCGTATGAGTGCCGGTCTTTAACCGGTGAGCACGCTCACTGCCGAAGCGCAATCCAGACAGACGGTTTCATTCCCGAGCTTCCTCACAATGCTGCCTGGGTCGCACTCCACCGTCTTGGGGATACCTGCGAAGGAGGAACATCGTTTAATTCATCAAATATGCACAATGAGCACAGCATCCGCTTCCGTGGAAGGGAGATTAAAACTGACACGCATACAGGCCCCACAATACGTCAAGCGCCGTTTGACTCCGTATACAGAAAGGGTATCGAAGTAAAGAGATAGCGTCCCGTGGGATCTACTCAAATTGGAGCCAGGCCTAAAAAGCAAGGCCTGCGCATGACGTCATGAGAGGTTTTGTTTTCATCTCCGGCCCGAGCCAAGCGGCAAACGAGCTGAAAGCTCCATGAAAGACGCCGCCGGAAAGCGGCTGACGGGTACGCATCTTGGCGTCACCGCGTGGTTGCGGCTCGCTCATTGCGAGAAGCTGGTGGGACTGCCAGCACAAGCGGATCATTTCTTGAATGAAGCTTGGGTAGCGTTGCAAAGGAGATGGATGATCTAAATAGACGCTACCGGTATCAGAGAAATAAAGGCGCACTCACAGGTCGCATTGTGTGTGCCGTAGCAAGGACACTTGTCGCAGAAGACATCCATGAAAAGGTAGGCGCAAAGCTCATCTTCCTTGCAGACCTGAAAGAGCAGATACAAATCAACGCGCAAATAACACTTAAGCGCCATTAAACAAACAACAAAAAACACTGCAGTAGCACATTGATTTATTGCGAATGCGAGAACCGAGAGTTTGGCGATTCCTTAGATAAAAAACGGAACAAATTTGAAATGCTTAATCCTACGAATTAAACACGGACTGTGCAGTGTGTTTCCAGTTCGTCTCATAATTAGGAGATAGCGCGTCTGCGGCATTACGAGTACATATATAGAAGCAATAACCGTGATAATCAAATCAGGAAGATATAGTGTATTGAATTAAAGAAGGAAAGGTCGATGCTTCGATTCCCGCCGTGGTGCACCACCTTTTCTTTTGGCAGACAACTGGCCATGTTATCGGATTTTCGGTACAAGATTTCGTGGCGCTCTATACGTTTTGAAGCCAGTCCCAAAAACAATTTTGCGTTATTATGGAAGTTTAGCTCGCATTGCTTCCAATGATCTTCACCAAAGCCTCCCCAGGTAGCGTATTCAGATCGAGTCTAAGGCGCTAGACATGCAGCATGGCATATACCGCAGGTGTAATGCGGTCCATCTGTGGAGGTTGTCTCTCGCTAAGATGTATGCGATTCTTTCGAGATCTAAAATTGAAATCGCCTGAAATCCAGACCTACCACGTGCTCGCATCTTGTATCTTCATTCTCTATGATGATACCTGCAAAAACGTTAAGATAACATGGTAATCATCGGAATATGTATTATACTCTTCTTTAGCCGCGGTCACCACACTGCTAATAGATCATACAAAAGACAGTCTGACTCCACAATCTGAAGCATGTTTTTTTTCTTTCCCTTGTATGAATGGTCCTGTCACAGCGATCATACAAAAAAATTGTCTTCTGCAGACATATTCGAAGCATACATATGTAATGATGCAAACATGCTTTGAAGTTCGAAGATATGTTTGAGGTGCATCCGCTGATAATTATGTCATAGTGTCTGAAGCGAACGCCGTGTCCCTTGTGTGATGTATGAGCAGCTATGAATGCGGCTTTACGTATGGGTATGCGCAGCGCAAGTTCGTCTGCTACTTTTGCAGGGGTTGTGGTGACGTCAGAAAGACGCCGAGCTCTGATTGGCCCTGATGGAAGGATAGTGGGTAGACCTCAAGGCAGCTTACTTTGACGTCTACCCACTATCCTTCTTCAATCAGAGCCAATCAGAGCTCGCCGTCTTTCTGACGTCACCACAAGCCCCGGCCAAAGAAGCAAACGAACTTGCGTTCCCCATTGTTTTAACCAACTCTCTCCTTGTCTCAGCCGTCCTACACTATATCTGCTCGTTTGAGGTGCTATAGTTCACGATTTCTTTAAGAATGTGAGATATGATCTGGCGAAACCACATTAGGGAATCCTAAAACAGGCTAATCCGTGCTTCCTACAATTCTTCTGTTAGTTCTTCTGGCTCACGGGTGTCCGATAGCAAGCCGAAAGAAGTACTTGTCAGAGGAAGTGTGGCTAGACGGCGAGCATTTCGACGCATCTTATACGGACATAAAAAGAAAACTGCTGGGTATTAAGTCCCTCCATCCATACCAATCGCATGGCGGGATGTATTGACTCGTCTTGGATATCATTTCCGGGCCAACGATCCAGCTCTATATGCTATATATCATTCTATAGAAGAAAAGCTGCAAAATAAAACTTGTCGTCTTGATAAAAAACAAAAAACACGCAGTCTACAAAAGCTTTTTTTTTAGTATATAAACGTTTCTTTGTTGACAACTTGCCAGCCGTCACAGTTAAAATACAGATACAAAACTGCCTGTCCTCTCGGTACGTTCCAAAGGAGCAAACCATTTACAAATTCTCTGTTACGGGATGTCGTCACAACGTTGCGTGACGCGACGATGTCACGCGACCGTCAGGAAAGCACGGGGTTACGTGACCACATGATGTCGCAGTGTTAACGTGATATCGTCGTGTCACGTGACGTCGCCGCGTCATCTGACGACCGCCACGCTGATGGCGTCACAGTGAACCTTTCGAGCCGCTGATTATGTCACCTGAAAGCTGTGTGGTCACCATCGAGGCTACGTGCCACGGACACGAAAACGCTAAGGGTTGGGGCTATAGGTGACTTATATTAAAAACTTCAAGGGCGCCTCGTGTACTTCTTGTGAAGATAGAAAGCAAGGATAGTCCAGGTTTATGACCCTCGCCTTTATTGCCATTTGTGGGTTCAGCACAAGAAGTCATATGCCGCAAAGTTGAAACCGGCAAGCTCTTTTGAAAAACAAGATAAATAAATAAATAACTGATCTAGATCGTATTTAAAGAATCATTTAAAAGAATCTGCTGCATCTGATGTTATGTTTTTATATTGTTCACGGCGCCGGTCTCTTATCGCGGCCGCGTGGCGTGTATCCGACCGCCTGGTCCTAAAGCCCCCTTATACCTGGTCTCCCAACGCGGCGAGAGAAAAATAAGGAGGAAAAGGAGGACACCCTAGCAACGGCGCTCAAGCAGGATTGGCTGACTCGTGGAGAATGACGCTGCCGCCGTCAACATAGGCACCGGTTGAAACTAGTTTCTGAATCGGTAGCGCAGCTTTGTGGTAAGGCGTCTGCTTCTTGCGCAGCTGACCCCGGTTCAATCCACAGTGTGGGCTTAGTTTTTTATTTATTTTTTCTCGAACATTTTATTTTGTCGAGACATTTGCCGATATTTACGACATTTCTTTTTTACAACTAACACTGAAAAACACGAAAGTTGTCGACGAAACTTCGCTGAACTAAATGGTATCGGACTCCCTTTCCGGAGGTGCATGGGGAACAGCGGGGCTTAGGTTGCCGGCGGACACCGCGAAGCGGCGTGTGAGGGGGGTCCAAGTGGGTTTATAGTTCTGTAGCGAACAGCCGCAGACTGTCGCCGCGAAGCGGCGTGAACGCAGGTGGGGGCTGGGTTAACACGCTCCCCAGTGATAGACGCGCCGTCCGAATCCAAAATCCAAGTTCCCGCGCCTCGTCAACCGCCCTGTCCCGGGGGCATAGCTCTCGTTTGGCGCCTATTTAAGCGGCTGCGGTGACAAGGCATGCTGCTCTTGGGCCGGCTTCCGGAGAATAAACGTTGCCAGAGTTATGCCAGCGTCTCCGAGGCGTCGACCCCGCTGACAAGGTCAGAAATTTCCCGGTTCTTATGCTCTACGTTTGGAGGAAGCAAAGCGAGCTTCCAATTATGTTTTCGGCCGAGGCGTTTAAAGAATGCACAAAAAGTCAGGTTTGAAAACTGCCTTCACTTACATTCCCAAGGATATAAGGGGCAGTTCATGTGCCGGGAGACGTAGCCCTCAACGCACTGGAGAGGGAGAGAAACAAAATAAACACATAAAGGTGAATGTCTGTCTTGGGACCTTTTGGTAACTTTTAATGCACGCATGGTACATGGTTACAAACAAACAAAAAGTTTTGCGGTGCCTGGATATCTACTACATCGCTAGAGACAAGAAAGCTCGCCGTTTGACGTGATCGATGTCAAGGGCGGATGCCAGACATCTTCAGTTTTTGCTTATGTACGACAATCGCGTGGACCGACTGGGATGCGCATAAGATGACCCTTCTTCAAGCACCGGCGGCCAACAGAGTGCCTCAATCGGTCTGTTGCCTCCCGGAAGGCGTTGCGCACTGCTGGTGAACATCCTCCGCTATTTTGTTTATTGGTTTCGGTTTCGATAAGTCTCAGAAGCGTGGCGGGCGTCCTCTACGACGGCAAAACACAGGAGGAACAATTGGAGACGTGGTGGTCACGGGGTCAGATGACGCAGACACTGCAGTCGCGTGGACCACCGTGGCCACGTGACGCGTCACGTGACGCTTGCTAATGTGACTCGTTCGCTTTTTGTGTCGGTCATTTTTCTCTGTCGCCGTCTTACGTCTGCTTTTTTTTTTTTTCATAGCTAGAAACGATTGCAAACAGGCTGTCGGGCCACCACCATGTTCCTGTTCATGCAAGGAAGCATGTGCAATTGCAAACCCGACATAGTCACCTTCACGCGCATGCCGCACGTGCTTCCACTCATGGGGCACCAGTCCGTACGCCGTGCTTGCACTGGCGGACATAGTTGTGTGCGCAACAGGTGAGCGCGTGTTGACAGCGAGCTTCCACAGTTCTTTTGCAACGTGCATTCCGCACCATCAAGATTGCCGGCCTAAGCAGCCTATTAATATGAGCTCGACCTGAGTATGCGCTCTAAACAGCGCCCTCAAATATGGCATCTGCTAATACAGGCAATCTTGATGGTCCGGAATGCACGTTGCAAAAGAACTGTGGAAGCTCGCCATCAGCACGTGCTCAGCATCGCGCACACAGCTACGGCCGCCATTGAATAGTCCCTATATGTAGTATTCAATGCCTGTAAATATGAGTTTGATCCGAGCGTGCGCAGTAAACAGTGCCCACCAATATGGTGTCCAGTGAACACCCTTTATAGTTTGTTGCAGGTTATGAAAAGTAGCACAAGCTCGACCTACAAAGCCCTCCACTCTTTCCACTTTAGTCGAGCGGACGATGCAGAGGAAGGAACCTCCGATCCTGACGAGCTGAGAGCTTTGCGGGAAGCGCCTGTCCCGCTCTTCTTCTCCTGCGACAGACTAGGAATACCTGTTTTACGTTACAAAGACTCCTTGCTACGGAGACATTATATAATATTTATTTTAAGGCGAAAACCTTATATGTCCCATTACGGCAAAATGCGGCGTCGGCGTTGTGCCCGAAAGACGGCCATAAAAATACGTCACCAAGCACGCGCCGATAAGGCAAAGCCGACGCGCCTCAGAAATAAAACCTAAAGAAAAGCACAGCAAAGCAGATGCTTCGTCACGGGAGCCGTGAAGCCGGCGGGGCGCCGCGCATGCGCAGTGGGGGAACGTGATGTCACCGCCGGAGCGAAACATTTCACTCGCGGGACTATAATGCTTCCGTATTCCTACACGTAGGCAGTCTTAAGAAGTGTCTTTTTCACATTTAACATTTGGTATTAACATATTGAACGAGATAAAGAAAAATTTACGAAGTGAAACTTATGGCTCTACAATTTAGACTAATCATGCAGGTTTGAACTCACCGAACAGTTAGTGTCTGTGGCGTCGATACCTGAAACAACAAAATACGCGTTAAGAACAGTCGCGTCCCGCGAGGAGGACACGAACAAGTGACGTAGGAGGTAAACTCACAGTATGACTCAGTTTCGCAGTTAGACGACGGGGAGTAGTTGTAGTGAGACACGCAAAGCTGTCCCTCAGAGCAGTCGGCAGTCTACGAGAGCGAAGGGCGAGAAAAAATCAACACGAATCACGATGAACTCAATTATTCCTGGAAGGACAAGGAGCGCGTTCCTCTTAAAATATATGCAAGTTTCAAATAAGATCGCTTTATGACAGATAACGTACAGTGGCACAGATGGTAGCACTGACGTTTGCGTTCCCGTCGCTGGCTACGCAGCCAACTGTAAGGTAGCCTGTAAAAAGAAGAAAAGAAGAGGTCTGTACATGTGCTACTGTAAAAGTCACTTCCAACTTCAGAATCCCAGGTTGCGGCAAGTCCCGTGCATCTCATTACCACTTTGTAGCCAATCCGATCGCAGCATTAGTCAATCAGAATACCAAAGGACGAATCAGGAGAAGAGAAACGGGAACATAATATGCCATGCACTGTGTTTCTTAAATATCAGTAGCTATGATGAGAATGCGTATCTTAGCCGTGACTCCCGCACAATAAATGTAAAAAGATTTTTTTAAATAAATGTATTATGTTTGAGGGTGACGCTATAGCCTCCTATATAATGACAAAGCCACTGGGAGTGGCCGCCAAAACAGGAAAGGAGGAGCGGAAGACAACGGATGAGAGGAGAGCCACGTGACTGGCGCCCCGCTGCGGCGAGGCGCCGAAACACACTTGTCCCGAGCGAACAAGTGTGTTTCGGGTCCTCGCCGCTGCAAAAGCTGTGCGCTGACGTCCAGGTTCCCCGATAAATGGCTCTGATTCTCTGTGCTACCAGATCCTCGCGCTCCAAATCTGCGACCAGACACTTTATGGCTCCGTCGTCGAACTGCCAGGCTTTGTGAGTATAAAGGAGGCTATGGTGAAGCATATATAGATTATCATGATTATACCCGGTGTCTTTTTTAGACTTTACAAATATGTTTTTAAAGAAAACCGTGAAAGGAGCTACACTAATCCGGTTTGTGCAGGTTAGTTAAGCGGTCAGGGGGACACAATAGACGGGGCTAATCTTCACGAGAAGTCGACCAATTAACTCTAAGTTGTTTATTAACTTTATATTCAGTGAAAATAAACGTATGGGTCTGATTAGAGACTTGCCGAGAGTCGTCGAAAATCACTAAATCAGGTATTTTTAGAAAAAAAAAAACTTTGGGCGCGTGGGAAGCGCAGTAATGCCCTGAAGTTAATATATTCGTAAAACAATCACAAAGCTGGCGATGAAAAATAAAAGAAATAAAAAAGAAACGCGAACGATGAGAGAAGAAAAAACCCGCAGGTGCGTTATCGCACTGGTAGCCTCACCCCTGCTACACGAGGGGGAGGTTTAGCGTATCACCGTACTTTCCACATGCTTCAAGACTTTCTAAAACACACTAATTTAGTGGTTTTCAATTACTCTCAACAAATTCCCAATTGAAACCATATGTTTCTTTGCACAAAATGCAAGGTTATTTAAAATATTTTAGTTAATTAGCCGTACCATCGTGATGATTATACTTCTCTACCATGTCCGCCTGGATGGATAACTGTCTTGGACCAACCGCATTGCTTTAACGGGGTTTTTAAACAAGATTTCAAAGTACGCTCTGTGTGTTTTCATATTCTGGGCAACAGTTAGGAAAAAGCATGACACTTTCGTAACCTGTCCCGAGGTCGAACCTAATTTTTAGATCGAATTGAAAGAAGGTCGTATAAAGATAAAATTGGTAGTTGAAAGAATATTTTTTTCGTTGCATCATTTGAAGTATATACTTCATGGGAAGCATTTCTGAAGTTTAAAAGCTGTTATCAACTAAATTAATGTTATTGTGTTCTACCACACAACCCTTGACACGCACTACGCAATGTTAAACTGGCTAACAAGCACATTTGAATTTCAGTAAAACCTAAAAAAAAACTAAAAAATTCCGGGCACTGCAACATTTGTTAGCAGCGTATAATAAAGTAATCTAAAAACGCACTAAAGATTTTTACACATTACGATGAAATTTTCGGTTAGAATAACAAAAAAGTAAAAACCACGATATAAAATGTTGAACTTCAAAATATATTCAATGGAAATTAAAAAAAAAAACATGTGAGTATTTTTTTTTTTATAGACAATCGGCCCTGTTCAATCATCTATACAGTTAACCGCACAAATATGTAGTATGACTATTTCAGCGGCGCGAAGTCTGCCTCAAGGGCGCTTACGTGTATCCAATGTTCAGACTGGAAGCTTTTGCGTGTTGGCAAGGCATGATTAATTAAAACGTACAGCGAAACATACAGGGTGGAGAAAAGGAGACAAACTACCGCTGAATTTACTTGTAATTTCAGTGGTTTTTTGTCTCCTTTCTTCCGTCCCGTCTGCTTCGTTGTACATTTTAAATAGTATCCATTGTAAATGAAAAAAAAAAGGCTTAGCCATTTTGGCCAGTTTGCAGTGTATCGGAATAAAATTACTCACGGGAATAATACGTTTAGAGTAAACTGTAGAAGGAATCTGGTGGATAGGAAGTGTACTCACCAGCGATCGCTAAAAACGTGATGGCTAGAGATCGGAGCATTATGGGCGGCGTAAACCGTCAGCAATTCAAGAACAGCACTGGTCGGTTTCAAGAGCGAACTGCTGAAGGCATTTGTGTCCGCAGTGTGTGTGTGTCAGCTTCCGAGAACCGCAGTGATCAGGCAAGCAAACAGCTGCAACGGCACGTGTACAGCGACGGCTGATTTTTGGTATTTTTCGTGGCAACAACAGGGCAGGAAATGTGCGTTGCCTCGTGGCAATCGTTGCCTCGTTTCATTGTTTTTTTCTTTTCTTTTGAGGTACACACTCTATGCGGTTTCCGGTAGTAAAATGAATTCGAAGTTTCTAGTTCATACTCAACAAAAAAAATATATAGAAACAATGTGTGAAACATCGGATGTCTGGTACGTCATATTCTCTATGGTATACCTGGCAGCAGGGAACACGTTTTTTGAGAACGTTTCTCGGAGCCGCACCGACCAGGCTTGAAACGTTTGCAAGCAGCCGCATTTCAACAGCTAGTCCGGCCACCGTGGATGGAAAACACTTTGTTTTGGGTGCCAGTCTGGAAACCGTGGGTATACGCCTAGGCAATGCTCGACTATCAGACGATCTACCTGCACCAGCAGCAAGATGGCGGCGTCGGAGGCCGTACTTGCAAACGTTTATAGACCAACTCAACTCTCTTATGTCACGTCGCTGCGGTGACGCTGCGGTTGGCACTGCGCATGCGCAGATGCTTCGCCTCACGCCACGAATCTGTTTTCTGCGCACGCGCGCCGTCCACACCCGGCGTGAGCAAACGCGAGGTCGTCTCGTAAACAGTGTCGGCCGTCGCTGGAGTCCGATGGAGCCGATTCAAGCAGCGGCATAAAGTGCACCGTCACGGCGCACGTCGTCTTTGTGCGTTTGATATATGAAGACCTCCTCACACACTCTCCTCGGTTTTCGTGAAACGTAATCCCACGACGACGGCGCAAACTTGGCGATTGAGCCCGAACCCGTCGCGCCGAGCGTCCGTCGACGCTTTCGTTGGCCACGAGTTCCGGCCGAACTCTGACGGAGCACTCGGGTCCAATCACGTGCCCGCCCTCGGGGTCGTGGTGGGTTGGTCTCAATATTAAAATGTTTGTGCTTCGCTTTCTACGTGTTGCCGGCCGAGGTTGTGCCGCTAAGCGAAGTACTCGGTCAATTAAATACTATAAATGAAAAACACAAATTATTGGAATATCTTTCCTAACATTTGGGGGAACTGGGCAGCCCATGGATTTCATGATAATGCAATTAATGCAAAGGTGCAAGCGAGCTGGACAAGAATGACGATAATAATCCCTGGAGAAGGGGAAAACATAGCCCAAAGGGCCAGGCGGATTTTTTGGAAGCGCGCCAGTGACCTAGCTGTGATTGCCTTTTGTCCTTCCTGTTCCCCTTCTTCAGGGATTATTATCGTCACCCATGTAATGAAGGCAAGCCAGCTGGTTAAAGTTAGACATTTCTAAAGCCTAAGACGGAGGCTACAAAGAAGGGACAAGCACAAGACGTCTCAATTAACACAGCTACTAAAATTTTATTCAGGATTACCCATGTAATCCCGGATGTTCACAGAGTCCAGAATAGATGTTCGTTTCCGTTTACGCGTGTTCAATTCTACAGAAGGAAAACAACGAAAATCCGACATATGGCTTTCCTCCTCGTCCCTCCAGCGCGAATGAAGTATCGCGTTTGTCGTGACAGCTGGAGCAACACCTTCTGGATACCAAGGGCCTCATTGCTGAATTTTTGACGTCATGTGTCGAAGGCCAGTGCGGGGCACGCAACGGACCCAAGAGTTGCATCAGAGCTACGCGTGGGCCCGCGTCCCCACTCATTGAACACGAGTCAAAGCCGAACACTGACGTAGCACTGGTGTTTGTGCCGGCGTTGGCCTCCAGTAGATGACGTAACAAAACACTTCGACAAGGCATTGTTACGTGGAAGCTGTTGGTTTGTTCGAACAGACGAACCGATTCGGTGCACACTCTTCTGACTCATACCCAGAATTAGCTGTCAGATGCTCTTTCTCTGACTTGCGTTGCCGGTGTTCATCACAGTCGTGCTCCAGGCTTGTCAGTGGTTATGGCTGATAATGTGCACGAGCATTGATAGATGTCTTTCGTCTTTCGTGAATGTGTGTCGATGGATGTTAATAAGCGCAATTCGAGCGCCACATGCAGTGTTCGTACCTAATTCGTGAACTGGGTTCGACTGGCGTGGTTGAGCACTGCAAATTTATCGCCGAAAAAAAAGACTGAAACGTCTGCCACCGAGAAAAACAAATAGTCCGCTTTTGTTTTCAAATTTCAGATCGAATACCAGGTTTCTGACACCCTGCACTAGTTTGAGTTTGCCCCACTACGCGACATGTGCTCAGTAAACTTCAAAACCTATTAATATTGTTTTATGGTTCCTACCCAGCTTGCTTGTATTTTTGGGGTATAAAAGCCTTTGTCCTAGGCGAGAATTATATCATCATCAAATTATTAAGATAATAAAGAAACTGTAAGGGCGGAAGCCGACTCCAGTGAAGGTTGATCACCATACACAGCATCTTGAAGCCGTCGAAGCAAGCACAAGAAAACACACACGAGTTTTCAATTCGTCTCTGTTGGTTTGTTGCGCTGTTTTCAGTCTCACGGTGGTGTTCGTTACTGTAGTATGCTGGCGCAGATGATGACAAAATTTCTGTTACTTTGAATATTTAAAATAGCTTAATATGAGGAGGAATTAGTAACTTTCCAGTACCACCAAACTGCAAGAAACATGCCATATCTACATTCGACAAAATGATATTTATTTTCCGTGAACACATACATTAACACTACACTTATTCCTAATTTAAGAACGCACTTATTCATCTCCGATCACATCACAGCCGCACATTAGGATCGTCATATGTCAAGGACCATTGCATCAGTGCATTAACAAACCTGAGAAGGTGAAAGCAACATTAATGAAACGCCTAATAATAAAAACAGCATGTTCATCACTCGGTAGACACTGCTGCCTTGTGCCTCTTCCGTGTTCATCCGGCAACTGCGCCTGCTGTATATGACTGAGTACTTTAAAACCTCTTTGGATATCTTACAACGAGACAGACCACTAGTGCAATCTGGCGGATAACACTTGGCATCTCCATATATATTTTTTTTTCTTTCGTGCATCATTGTTTTTACGGTTGAAAAATACTTGTCAAAACGTTATATTTCTTGTAAATAGCACGTAGATTTGGTGTCGCAAATACCACATGTCCTTCACTCTAGTGAAATGTAGTTCCAGAACCACTTCATGGATGGCTTTAGCGTGCCAGTATGTTCTTTCGTCGCAAGAGATCACAATAAGAGCTCGGTCGTAAGCAAACGCAAGTGTGTGAACGGGCCTTCAAACCAGAAGTAGCCGCGTCCTCGTCCTTCATCGACGACGTCAGGGGAACTAGCCTTTGTGCCATCATCATATACATAGAACAACACATTCGTACGAACAGAACATCCCATCCCTTTTTGGTGTTTACCAGCTGACTTTGTTCCCGAAATTCTCGTCACTAGGCCTACTTCCCGCCCTTTAGGGAATTGGCAATGTCGATGATGGGCTCGAGGAAGTTGCCGATGTCGGCACCCCCTGGTGCCACGGGTGGCAGCGGAGGAAGCTTCTTGCAGGCGTCGGAACCGCGGCTGTGCACACCGCACACCAGACTCAAGACCTGGCCGAAAATGTGCTCGTTGACGCTCGTCAGGAACTCGAGCGCGGGTGTGTGATCGCAGTCTTTCACGGCTGTCTGAAGGCAGTCCAGGAGGTTGTGGTAGTGGCTGAGTACAAGAACAACAAACGCCGTGAGTCTTCAAGAGAGAACGTTTTATACGCGGTCGAGACAAATGTCCGCTTTAGTGTTTTGACATGTTTTGGTGGTTTATTAGCCCGTTTTCACGCCTCCCCCCTGCTCTCCGCATCGAAGACGCCGCTATATTGAGGTTCCGCCTGTCTACGGAGTTCCGGTTTTTTCAGCGGGTACCAGGAACAGTTGAGGAAGGGAGAAAACGATCAACAAAAGCTTCAAGTCGGGAGTTTTGGTAGCTCGTTTCAATAACTCAGATAACGATACACGATGCTCCGCCGGCGCCTTTGCGCATGAGTCGTATTGTTATCAGGTATCGTTATCGGAGTTACCGGAACGCTCGAATACGACTTCCTATTGTTACCAGCTAGCACGCTATTCATCTTATAGCTGTCCCTACAGAAATGAGGTCTTCCGGCATTGGCAGTGAACTTCTATTCTTGACAGAACGAAGTGAAGTTTTCTACCCGCATCGTAAACACGTTTTTTTTTTTTTTTTCATTTTCTCACTTGCTTTTGATCAAAGAAAGAAAAGCATTGTGTCGCAAAAATGGCTGTGTGTCCCCAAAATCAGGTGGGGACACAACGCCCCTCAGGTGGACTTCTGTTTGCGTTTCAAAGTGTAGCGGCTTAACGACGTTCGCCAACTTTAGGGGAAAAAAAAGAATCTTTTTCGCGCAGTTTTGTGGGTCCCTATAAGTACACCACACCCTCCTATACATGACACTGGGTTTATATGAGAAACAATCTTTACGAAGAAACTTTCGCAGTCATAAGCGTTTTTCTTTTACTGTGCCTCGGTGCGACGAAAGACCCGGTTGGCAGATATTCGGGCCCAAATGCAATAGCGAGTTTTAGAATAGGGGGCCCCAAGCTATCTGGGGCACCCAAAGCTGTGCGGCCCCCTATTCTAAAACTCGTTAATAACCAACTATAGCGTTATAACGCTACCCCCAAGCAGTATAAAAACTCATAAGCTCCCTTAAGACGGGGCCACATTGCTTATACATTATACAAAAGACAGTCAGCAAATACGAGTCACTGCAATATCCGTGGTTCGAATGCCGCGTACCAAGTTTTCTCCTTAAACATAATGTATTGCAGCTTTCAAAGCGCGGATCTCGGGGTGACTCGCGTTCGAATCTGCATGCAGACTGTCTTCCGTATGATGTATGAGCAATGCGAACCAGTCTTTACTGATGCCCAAAGAAGCGAATGGCAGGCGAACCACGCTCGGAAACGCTATCGCACACCAAACCACCTGTGGTGGCAGCCCATCAGACGGATGCATACTAATTCGGATGCATACTCATTAGTAATGAATGCGTAAATATAGCAAGCACACCTCTTTTTAAATGAAGCTGCGGTGACGGTAAACTCACCAGCAGGCGTAGTTGATTTTTTCTTTGCGGGTGACGTTCGCCACGATGCCTTCAAAACTTTCAAAAGCAGTCTTGAGGCAAACGTTCAGCTGGCCACCTGCAGCGTTCATGCACTGGACGCTGTCCTGGTACTCTGTGGAAGACAGCATGAACAAGATGTGAAGGTGAGTTTCTTGCGGGGAGTAAAGGGTAGGAAGCCGCCACACACTAGATGATCAACTGACGCAATAATACCGTTATAGAACAAATTTTGACAGCCTCAACTTAAACCCCCGAAAAACGAGATCGATTCCTTACCGAAAATAGTACGTGCGCAGGGCTACACAATATTACTTTTTTTTTAAATAAATATTGCTCTATGGGTTTAATATGCTCTGAAAAAGTGAGAAAAAAAATGAAAATAATAAAAAAAAATATGTCAAGCAGGTTGTTTACTAGTAGACTGCATCTGTTGACAGATATATTACTTTATATTTTGGCATTCGTTCGTTTAATGGGGCTTGAAATACAAATATATAACACTGTATGCGCGGCTGGTAAGGTCCTCAACACTGTAAATTTATCGACAACTGAGTATTGATTAGGTTTTGGTTGGAATTTAAAACATTCCATTTACTGCGTCCTGACAACATTCTATGCAGCTTCATCGTGGGTTTGTGCCACGTCGTTAATGCGAGCGTATTCTCCATGGTGCTGCCAAGGCTATACAAGGCTATACTTGCGCGAGCGCGTGGCTTCGTTTGAAGTCTCCTTCGCACAGTACAGCGTGCGTGCCAGACACATACAAGGCGATGCAATTGGCTTACGCAGCAGTGGATGTCTGCAGCACTGTGAGCACTATGCTATCCTTGACAACGTCGCACAGCAATATTGAGGCTGGGTGTCTATGGCTCGCACTGGCGTCACACATCAGCGGCTATTGATGGTGGCCTTTCTGCCGAGCGCGTCTGTGCAGCACACCTTTCCCACCACCGAACCTGCTTCCCTCGGCAAGAACAAGTACGCGGAGCAAAAGTTCATCTGCGTCTTGCTCAGGGGCTGCGATGGTATGAGAACGTCGAGCCCTTATTGGCTGATCGAACAAAATAGTGGGTAGACCTCGAGTCATCTAGCCCCAGAGCTAGGCGTCGTTCTGACGTCACAGCAACTCATTCGCAAGAAGCAGACGACTTGCCTTGCGCACAGGAATTACAACCAGCATGATGCGATGACGTAAAGTGCAAGCCACGTGCAAGCGATGGGGGCAGCGTTGTCGGTAGTGCTTACGTTGCCTCATTTCCGTGTCCGGGGTGCAGATGGCTTCGATGTCTTCCTCGGCCGCATGGTACGCCAAGAGGCCCACCACGCGCGGAAGCTGTTCCAGGCACCTGCCGGCGAAGCTCGAAGTGCATCGCACCTGCGTCAATTGCGTCCTGCAAGAACACCAAAAGAATGCCATCAGACCTCTCTTCAAAAGTACGTGCCATCGAGTAGCTGCTCCGTCATTGCCTTTGTACACATTTTTATGCCTGAGTCCCACTAAAGCGACGAATAGAGAAGCAACCGACACCAAGACACCTCAAGAGCGTGCAGCATGCACATAAAGGCGAACTATGTGGAGTATAAGTGCGCCTGCTTCTTGCGCAGGGGTTGCCCTGACGTCAGAACGCCGATCTCTGATTGGCTCCGATTGGAAGGATAATGGGTAGACCTCAAGGCAGCTAGCATTGCGGTCTACCCACTATCTCTTCATCAGAGCCAATCATAGCTCGTCGTTTTGACGTCAGGGCAACCGCTGCGAATGAAACAGACGAATTTGCACTCCGCATTGACAATCTTGTCGCCCCTCGGTGTTCGCGAAGTATACAGCACGCGTGATGTGAAGCCTGCCAAAGGTACCTTCGCGTGCGCGTTGCACGGGCTTGAGACCTGCCGCTGTCGGTTGCTCCTGTTTGTAGCTCTATGTGGGATTAGGGAATTAGCACGTATTAAACGCGAGGGCTCCATGCGCGTACGGCAAAAACTCCGATCCAATCCCACGCTTCATGACCAAGAAATGGCGACTGCCAGTTTTGCTTGATGGGGGTTTTGTAAAGGGTCTGTCAAACTCGGAATCGATGTCTGGTCTCGGCGATTAATGCGACCCGTGGGCAAGCGCCGTCCGCTTCGATCACACTATGGCCACTAGAGTCACAGACTGCTTGAAAAACGCGGCGTAAATATCTTATCATCGCTACGTAGCCAATCATATTGCAGCATCGGTCGATAAGAAATCCTAGGAACCAACCACGAAGCAATAGGCCTGATCATAACAAGTCACGCCCTGCCTTTGTTAAGACGTCAGGGACTATACTAAATCTACATTTAGCGGAGTTATACCCTCGGCGGCCACCGCATTATTTTGCATAGTTTTATCGCGTTAAGAACGTCAGTACCTTCTGCCGTAACCCCACTAAGAAATCAGATGAACGGTCGACCATCCCGACAAACTGGCTCTTCTCATCGGTCTCGTCGCCCGACTGCTATCAACTCTAACGATCGACTGGGTTCTTGCGACGGGTGCATCGAGAAAGGCGGAGTTCCTTACTCGCATTGGTTCTCGAGCTCCGCCTCGGTCTCCGCCATGCGCGTCGCCTTGCCGTAGGGAACGTAATCCGTGCCGCAGGAGCGCAGGTCCTTCAGGCTGCAACCGGGCGATTCGTTCAGCAGACACCAACAGCTACCTAGAAAGTGAGTAGAGAGAGAAAGAGATAGTCAGATCATATCAACGTCTCTCGTTGCTTTGACCCTAATATTGACGGTTTACTCAACTATACTTCTATAAGCAGACTTTTTCCAGCACGGTCGCTGAGCAAACTATTAACCTCGCAGAAAAAAAAACACAAAAAAACGGGACACCAATTTGTTTTATGCGTTACGCCTTGCTTTACAAATAATTTATTTATTTTGAGCAACTTCACCTAATAGAGTGAGCTGTTTGCAGTTCGAATACGCTGAGAGGTACTGAAAACAGTGACTTGTAAGCGTGTATGTCAACCATGTTCTAGGTTTCAACCAGCCTCGACTACATTCCTACCTAGCAAGAAACGAAAAGAACCAAGCACCTTGCACAACGGCTGTCTGGGATAGTATTGCGTCATTGTAAGGTCGTAATATACATATAAATGGCCGTAAAGTACACGGAGGAAAATCCAAGAGTTTTGATCCCGAAGAAATAAGGAATGATCTTGCTGTTATCCTTTAATATAGCGATCGTTGTACATCACACCGTAGTTAAGCTTTTTCCTGTGGAAGACATGTTTTTTACCTGTCTTCCAGAAAACAGTTCTTAACAAACTAACAAAAAAAAGGGTTACTTACCGGCAACGGTACTCAGAAGCACATAGAAACAAGCAGAGAAATTCGCCATGTCGAACAACTGGGTGTTGATCGGGACTGACTGTACTCCTCAGGAAGACAGTGCCTTTAAATACCTATTTGACCGCTTTCAACTCTTGAAGCTTCAATCCTCCTTTCCACGTCCAACCGGAAGTCCGCAACTCCCCCGCGGTGACGTAAGAGCATAACGTAAAACGCCGTTCGGACTGCAATGGCAGTCACATTTTTGTTCGCGGGGCGCCAAACGCGGAGGTCAAACCGAAGCGCTTGTCTGCCGTCGTGTACGATATCAACCGTGATGACATTCAAAAGAGTGCAGACGTCCCTTTCCACCGAACTGTACCACCGGGTGTTTGGCTTGCCCACGTCACTTCCTGGTGGTGACGTAGTAAACTGCGATCGGCGATGTCCTCCAGAGTAACTGAATCCCCCCGGTGAGGGCAGGGCATGGAGGTCGAACGGAGTTTGTCGTCGCGTCTTACGTCAAATGCCGTCAGACCTCAAGTGGAACGCGAGGCCTCCTTTCCGGTCGCTTCCACAGACCCGCCGAACCGCTTGCCCAATATTACCTTGGGGCGGGTGGGGAACACCAATGATGACGTGTTTAGGGGCCTTGTCTTTCAGGTGATATTGACTTGCTTAAGGCCCTTCCCGACAGTGACACGGTACTGTGTCCCCGAAGCCGTTGCTCCAGCAACCTCTATCGCCGTTGGGTGGCCATGAAGGTCGAGCCGTTCCTCTAGAGACGTTATCCCACCATACCATCAGATCGGGGCATGAAAATCGAAGTAAATGTCACGAAGTGAGGCAGGACGTGCGAGCGAAGGACGGCCAGTGTCAGGCTCGCCGACAGATAGAAACACCGAGGGAGAAAGTGCGTCAGGGGTCGCGTGCACGGCGCTTTGGTGCAAATTTTAGCTCTGTCCGACGCTGTGTAGACGGCCTCGCGAAATACTCTAAATATATGTCGTACCAGTCCACGCAGTGTTCAAGGACAACGACCGTTCGCGGTCTTTGAACACGTGACTTCGCACCTCGGCGATATTATAAACACGAGACAGATTATACTATCGCCATTCCGGCGCACGAAGTTGCCTTAATGCCGAGGTTAAACTTTATTTACATAAACTTGGGAGATAAAATATATTTTTTTCTTTTATCTATTGATCAAACCGACATATGCAGAACTGCGTTTAATAAGGAACGCAGAGGACGCTAACTCCAGTCTGCGAATGCTTTCAACACTGGTCGCTTTATGTCCTAGTTTACCCTCCAATATTTAATGCAGAACAGAACTTTAAGGCGACCGCCACAGTTTCCATATCACTCTCTTTCACACCAAACACTACTACAATATGTTCAGTCTGCCGCGGTTCTCCAAATCATCTACCTTATCTATAAACCATCCCATTTTGATTTCTATTTCGTCACTTTCAATTCTTTGGTACATGTTCAAATTTTACAGCGTCAGCTGTTAGTCGCCCGTTCCCCGGTTTTTCGAAGGCGTGAGCGTAAACGAAAAGTTTCCCCGATAAATTTAGCGGAGAAGTTTCCGTCACGGGACCTATGCACCAATTCAGTTGCTCCGCTAAATTTGGCGGGAAAATCGATGTCACCTGACTTGCGCACCTATTCAGCTTCACCGCTCAATATGGCAGGAAAAGACATCACGACCTTAAAATCATTTAGCCATTTACAACACACCGACGCTAAATCAACGCATCGTCGTTTCAACATCAAATCGCCGTATGACGCATGATTGGAGCGATATCGATCGACCGTCATCGTCATATCGTCGAATAAGCAGCACAGCTGACGCTGTCTAAACGCAAATGTTGCAACATGTTTCGAAAACTTCTTTATGTTTTGTTCTATAGCCACTAATCTATTTTTTCTGCCAAAAATGTGTTCATAAAGAGTTTTTCTTCTTTTTTTTAAGTGAGGTGAAATCACGTTACGTCTGCTTTTGATTTAAACAATTTTTTGCCACGGTCCTTGGGTCAGGATTGGACTTCACATCTCCACTTAGCAGTAGAACCATATCACATCTCAAGTGAGCAATACTTGAGGGCAGACAGCACCACTAAGAATACGCAATCGCTTTTAAGCTATGATACGTTTTGATGTCTACGTAGCTGCACAAAAAAGATGAAACGATTCATTCGTGGCTATACCACGCAAGTGCTGCCGTGCCCACTGAAGCCTGATCCGAAGGGGGCGTACTTGAAGATTGAGTTGATGCCTATGTCCCTCGGTTGTGCGTCCATGACACAAGTCATAGTTCGAAAAAAAGCAGTCTTGTACACGGGGGTTACCCTCGCGTAAAACCTCGGGTCACTGGGGTAGTAGCCAAGTAGAGACCCTGACGTACTCGTGCTCCAGTCAGATCCGGGCCGTTTTCTCAGACCCATTCCCTTACGGTAGATGGGGTTGAAGTAAAAGTACAGGCACGCTCAAAAAAATAAAAAAGGATTAATTCATGATTGCTTCACTCGCGCTCGTTTCCTTTCATAACGCGAGTAAAATGGCGTACGTGTTCGTGCTGAGGAGGGACTCCATTTCTTCCAGAGGATCCGGAGGCGAGGTGTTTTCAGTAGTTCTTAGGTTGCAGCAGTTGATAGCGTGTGGCCAGTAACAATTGATGCCATGCATATCGTTTCTTTTTATCTTGGTATTTTTATTTCATCCATTTTAATACCAGCCATTACCTTTTTTGTGGTATTTTCTCTGCATCCCAACCACTGTGGAAGAAACATTTAGGTGATGACTCTCTGTCTGACGCGGCGACCGCATTATGTTCGGCGCACCGAGCGCGTCACTCGCACGGTGATAGATGGCGCCCAAGTATCGGGTCCCTTCCAAATCAACCGCTCCGGTTGTTTCTCCCAGCGGTGTTCCCGCATTCCCTCGCTCATCGCTTCTTGTTGTGCCCACGGTGGAAGAAACACATTTAGGTGATGACTCTCTGTCCGACGCGGCGGCCACATTATGTTCGGCGCACTGAGCGCGCTTCACTCGAAGGGGGACCGATAAGGGCCAAAAACGGGATCCCTCCCAAACCGACCGCTCCAGTTGTTTCTCCCAGCGGTGGTCCGGCATTTTCCGCTCACCGCTTCTTGTTGTAGCTCACCGCCACCACGCCGCCACCAAGTCACCAAAGTCCGTAAATCTGGTAAATCTGTGTTCTCTTCTTCTTCTTCTTCTTCTTCTTCGCGTTAAGGCTCATCTTCGTGCACGATGGCTGCACCTGTGATCGACACAGCACTAAAGCAAAACACGAGGAGGCCAGCCACTGGCCACACACCACCACCACACCACCACACCGCGAAAAAGGCGAGCACGCTACGCCGCCGACACCGTGGCCGCCGAGGAGGGACCTCACACCTCAACGCCCTCCGCGGCGGAGCGGAACTAACTACTCCTGGTTCGAGACTAGCTCCGAACACGATCTGGTCGCTCGCTCCCTGCGGAAAGGGCGGCCAGTGTCATCAGCTAAATGTGTTTCTTCCACCGTGATCCCAACGCATTCCAATGCAAAGATATTACGCCTGCAGCGTCTTTTAGGGTTCAAGCGTAAGGCAATCTGTGGTTTCCTATTTCTATCCTACGACAGCCGTGACGACGTGGGGGCTTACGTCGAGGTGTACGACTGCGATTTACCGGGAAATCCGTGCGCTCTATGTTGCGTGAATTAAGGAGTTACGGTGGTCGACAACACGTCAGTAGAGGTGACCTTGCTGGGTGGTCCGTGATGGTGAACTCAACTTCTCCACAAACGTCCACCCCACCGCCTCACCACGCCGGATGCTGGGTTTTGCGCAAAACAACAACGAGAGCCTGAGACCCGCCGTCCTCGGGCTCTTCACACAGCCCTTGTTCTACCGCCGACAAAGTTAAGTCCGCCTGTTTGGCCACCACGGGCAGCATGAGCCAGTCATGGGCGCGTTACTGCTGAAAAGTATCAGTGCTACGGTTACAGTGGCTTAGGAGGAAGAAGGAACCTTCTACATTAAGTTCCAAACTTGAAAGAATAAATATAGCGTCACTTAGGTACTACAATAATGAAACACGTATGCATCTGCTAGAGTACTGATCGGCCGTTAGGTCACCACATGCAGTCTCAGCTCTATGGACACTTCGGGCTAACCAACGAAGAGCATGCAGCCTATGGCATCTATGGACGGAGCTCCGCAATTCCTCGCCTTATGCAGCGGTAGACATTCCAATGTCGGAAGTCCTAAAGTAGCAGTCACACTGCACATGCATCATATATTAAAGGTACGCTGCAGACATGATGACAACATTATCATGCGGACACGCCTCAGGCATGTTTGAATCATGTTTGCTTCCTACACATGTGCACTTTGAACATGTCTGCAGGCAGCGTTTGTTTGGATGTGACAGGCCCATCATACAAAGAATAAATGCCTTAGACGAGGTCTGCACACTGTCTTTTTTGTTGTATTATGAAAGGTGTTCCTCGTGCTTTATGATCATAAGAAATCTATTGATCGCGGAACTAGATGATGCCTATTTCGATGGACTATGTGTTCAAATAATGTATATATGCGATGTTCTCTTAATATGCTTACTCGTGCCTGATATGATTTGCCGCTTATTCTTTATTCGCTTAAAACGATCCGTCACTAGCCATTGCATATAGATCCTGTTCAATGTACGGTATGTATTTTAATTGGTATTGTTTTTTTTTTTTGTTTTTGTTTAAGAGTAAAGAATAAGAATAATGCCAAGCGATGAGGCCACATCGCTTCATCGTCTAGTTGGCCGCATTGTTACGGTGAGCTAAAGAGGGCGGCGTGGCGATCGCTCGCTAATCCCTGTGGACGAGAGCGAGCTTAAGGCTCGTTCACACATTTGCGTTCGACTACGAGGGACTGAGACAAGACCGGAGGAGGGGGGGGGGGGGGGGGATTAGGTCACTTGCGGCGGCTTACATCCGTGCTGCGGAGCAATGCAGTCGGTCATAAGCCGTCACAAGAGGCTTGAAAAACTGGTCTTGTCTCAGTCGGT